ATTTTTTTTTGGGGGGAAAAAAAACCCCCCCGGGCCCCAAAAAAAAAACCCCCAAACCAAAAAATTAAAAAAAAAAAACCCCCCAAAAAACCCCAAAAAAAAACCCAAAAAAACCCCCCCCCCAAAAAAAAAGGGGGGGGAAACAAAAAAAAAACCAAAAAAAAGGGGAAAAAGGGGAAAACCCCCCCCCCCGGGGGGGGGGGGTTTTTCCCGGGAAAAAGGGGGGAAAAAAAAAGGCCCCGGGGAATTTTTTTGGGGAAAAAAGGGGGGGGGGCCCCCCCAAAAAATTTTTTGGGGGAAAAAAATTTTTTTGGGGGTTTTTTTTGGGCCCTTAACGTTTTATAAAAAATTAAAAAATTTTTTAAAAAATTTTTTTTTTAAAAAAGAAAATTTAAAAAAAAAAAAAACCCCCTTTTTTAAAAAAAAAAAAAAATTTTTTGGGGGGGGGAAAAAAAAAACCCCTTAAAAAAAATTTTTTAAAAAAAGGGGGGGGTTTTTTTTTTTCCCCCCCTTTTTTAATTTTTTAAAAAAAAAAAATAAAAAAAATAAATATAAAAAAAATTTTTAAATATATATATAAAAAAAAATATTTTAAAAACCCCCCCAAAAACCCAAACCCCCCCTTTGGGGGCCCCCCCCCGGGGGGAAAAAAACCAAAAAAAAAAAACCCCCCCAAAAAAACCCCAAAACCCCAAAAAAAAAACCCCGGGGGGGAAAAAAAAAGGGGGGTTTGGGGTTTTTTAAAAAAAAACCCCCCCCCCGGGGGGGGGGGCCCCCCCCCCCCCCTTCCCGGTTCCAAAAAAAAAAAAAAATTTTTGGGCCCCGGGGAAAAAAACCCTTTTTAAAATTTAAAAAAAAAAAATGGAATCGTCTAATGAAACGGGGGGCCCCCCGGGGGGCCCGCCCGGGGAATTTTTTTTTAAAAAAAAACCCCCCCGGGAAAAAAAATTTTCTTTTTTTCGCGGGAAAACCCCCCAAAAATTTAATACGAAGAGCTAAGGGAAAAGGCTCAAAAAAAAAATTAAAAAACCCCAAAACTATAAAGGAATCTAGACTACTACAAAAGTTGAGGTAGGTACAGATCAATGAGAGCTGGGAAACAATTCAGGCGTAAAAATGCTCGCCGTTCCAAAAAAAAGGGCCCCTTTCAACCCCGAAGCCGGGGAACTTTTCTGAAAACCCGACGTCAGAGGACCTTTTGAACCATCATGTACACTGCAAGGTAGGAAATTTGAAAAGGAAAAGTTCGAGAAAATGGAGCGGGAAATAACTCTAAATAAAAAGAAACTTTCTCTCACGGGAGTGCGTAACAAAAAAAATTTCAACTGTGGAAAAAAATTTCCCAAGGTTGTTAGGTTAAACACATAAGCAACAGTTAGACAAATTTTTTTCCGAAACGTTTTTTGCCTACACAGTAGGGGTTTTTCAGTCGAAAAAGAAAGTTGGCAGGAAAAGAAAAGAGTTAAAACGATGTAATCATTCCATCCCTGAAGGCCCGGGCCCAGGGACTGACAACCCAAATTTTACGACTTTAAGGGTGATTGGGCTGATTTCATGTCTTCACATCCTACTGTTTTCCCGCCTACTTCTGTAATTTGACTGAAGAACCAAATGTTAGGCGAAACGTTTCGGAATAAAGTATTCTAACGTTGCATAAGTTTCCTTTTAAACCCAACAAAATAAGTCAACTGTCGGAACCCCCAAGGGGAAAAAAAAAGTTTTTAAAAATAGATGGGAAAAAGTAAAAGGGGGAAGTGAAGTCAAGAGCGAGGAAGAAACAAAAAGGGACAAGGGAAACAGGAGCAGTGGGAAAAAACCCAAGGACCTCTATTAAAAGTCCGTTTTCTATCCGATGAAAAAAGGATCTGAAGGGCAAGAGAGCGGATCAAATAACGGGGGTAATGGTATTAAAGGCAATCGTTTTAAGGGCGGAAAAATTCACCTCCGGGGATATAGGGCCCCCGAGGAGAGGAGCGAAAAGCCCTAAACAAAGCGTTAAACCCCCATATGGGGGATCAAGTTCAGAAAGAGTTTTCGGGAGAGGGCCCCAGAATATATCGGTCGCCATAGTCTAGTTTCGCTAAAATTAGGGATGAATGTAGTCGAAGGTGAGTGTGATGATCTGCACCCCACGAAAGATGAGCAAGGGTTTTAAGGAGGTTGAGCATACTTTCAGAGAGGTAATTTGAGGTTTCCAGGACAGCTGGTGATCAAACAGAAGGTCGAGAAATCGGACCGCATCACTTACAGGGATATGGGAGCCATGCAAGCACAGAGTGTCAGAGACAACGGAAATTGTTAAATTAATTTTGTGCGTTTCTGCAACAGAAAAATTAAACCTATGCGTAATAGCCCAACGTTAAACACTGGTGACAGCATTCTGGAGTGAGGCTGCTACTAGGTGACAGTCAGGGCCTGAACAGGCTATAGCAAAGTCATCGACATACAGTGATGAACAAATATTAGATGGAAGAACAGAGGCCAAATCATTTGTGGGTAGTAGAAAAAGAGTGGTGCTATGTACACATCCCTGAGGGACACCTTAAGCTTCGACGAAGTCCAGGGAAAGTGAATTATTAACCCGAACACGGAAATCTCTCTCAGATAAGATGTTTTTAAGGAAAAGTGGCAGGCTGCCTAGAAGACCTAAGGGATGAATATGGGCCAAGATGTTATATCTCCAAGTAGTGTCATATGCTTTTTCAAGATCATAAAAGACTGCGATAACTAAGTGGTTGCCAGCAAAGCCATTACAAATTGAGGTATCTAAGTGGGGTAAGGGGGTTAATAGTGGAGGGGCCCTTACGAAAGCCAGACTGACTAGTGAAGAGACTATTGTGTGTCTCTAAATACCACACTAAACGTCTATTTACTAGACGTTCCATCAACTTGCAAACTGCACTAGTAAGAGCAATGGAACGATAGTATGAGGCATCATCGCTCGAAGTTCCTGGTTTACGAAAAAGCAGAACAACAGCAGTTTTCCACAACTGGGGAAAAACCCCTTGCGGCCTAGCTGCCGAGGATCGGCAAGTAGAAAACTACTGACTCCAGTTCTAGAAGCGTAAAAGACACATTTTAAGACTCGCTCTGCTAGACGAAAAGTCTAAAGGAAACAACTCTCTGGCAGACTAGGAGAAAGAAACGAGAGGTACAGATGGAGCCCCTGAGACATACGAACAATATGATTTCCAGTCTCTGTGGCAATTTCCAGAGGTCTTGCAATGCTGACACTAGCATCCCTAAAAAAGGGAGCCGGATCATTGAAGTTCTTACCACTCAATTTCAGTTTTTTTTTTTTCCAAACTGCGCTCATAAAGGAAGCCAAAGTAACTGTAGAAAGATAATCCCGCTAACAACGTTTAACTTCACGGATGACACGACAGAAACCCGCCCTCAGAAACGTAATATCAAGGAGTCGCTCTAAGGTCGTATTGTAACGATATCGACCCCATAAAGCACGCTTCAAACGAACTGCATGAGCACAAGCAGGAGACCGCCAAGGCACACTTTTCTGAGAATGCCTGCCCGAGGTCAGAATGATTAAATGTAAAGCCGAGGCTAATATCGAGGTTAAAAACAGTTATAATAGCTCATCAGTGGAGGATGAAGAAGGTTCCTCACTAAAAGCAATATGACGCGAGTATAGGTCCATATTCGCCCGTTCAAATTGTCAACGTGGGATTCGAGGAGGACCGAGAATATGTCATGTTAGTCTGGGAACACAGACCAGGTTGAGTCTAGTGCAGTTGATGAAGAGCAGATTGAGAGATCAGTGCAAGAGATTGAGTATGAGTGTCAAAATAGGTGGGAGAACCCATGTTTAAAACATGGAAGGGAAGAGAAGCGATAAGAACCTGTAACCGCCTGCCACGCGAGTCACAGTGAGACCTCCCCAGAGGAAATGAGAAGCATAAAATTTCCCTAATAAGAGATGAGGTGGTGGTAAGGAACATACCAGTAATGCAACATTTGGAATAAATATTGACACATATCCTACATTTTATAAACCACAACTGTAATACATTTTCCCCATACACTGTGTTGATTTATATATGAGATTAAGACAGATCTATATCCTATATATTCATATGTACTATGAATATTTTAAATGGCTTGGTAGTATAATGCAATGTAGACTCGTATGCAGACAAAATGAATGAGTATGGAGCACCTGTTCCACATTCATTCACACCAAATTTGCTATTATATATATATATATATATATATATATATATATATATATATATATATATATTATATATATATATATATATATATATATATATAATAAAGAATAGAGATCAGTGTTTGTGTAATTTCGCATGCTCTCGCGAATTCCTTGCATTGTTCAAATCTCTAGTAAGGCTGATGCATGCAGGGGATGAGATGAAAAGTGTAAGCCTTCTCCCTGAAAGCTGACTGCCTTGGATCGAAACGTGTAGCTCATGCTACACGCCAAGGTATTGGTCCAGTGTGGGTAGATTGGTAAAGCACTGCGTACCTTGTCCTAAGGTTCGTAGGTTCGAGTCTCCTTCAGCCAGAGATCAGTGTTTGTGTATATTTCGCATGCTCTCGCGAATTCCTTGCATATATATATATATATATATATATATATATATATATATATATATATATATATATATATATATATATATATATATATATATAAATCTCGCTGAAGTACATTATGGAAGACTTTTTTCTTAGATTTATTGGGAAGCGACAAAACCATATGTTTCATATATCCATTAAGCCTTAATGCTGCTGAAGTAAACAATTACTGGTCTTTCAAAGTAACATTGAAAAATAACAGTAAACTAACTACTACCAATAACCAGACTTGGTGGAAACAATGTTTCCACCAAGTTCCATTATGTTCTACTTTCTTAATAATTTCTGAAACATTCCAAAATTCACGCAATCAGTTTCTCTTGACTTAAATCATTTGCTGTTGCACTAATACTAGTGTTTAATGGCTTTATTTTACTCTGTTGCAGGAGGCGGCAGGCAGAGCACAAGTAGGTGGTCGGGTACAGCAAGAACAGAATGCGGTACAGAATTCGGGTAACGAAAAACCTCCATCGTACGAGGCTGCTGTGGTGAAACCTCCCCCGTATGACCTCCAGTTCCACTTGACGCCCACTCAGCCCTGTAGCCAGACAGGCATCGACTTCGGAAAGGAACAATTTAAAATAGACTCTGCGAATGTACCCAAACTGGTAACGGAAGGCACGACGGAAAGTGCGCTCAGTAAGGAAGATGTCTTTCTTCCCTCTTACCAGGACGCCATCAGACTTTCCTTCAGCAGCGATAAGGATCTTATTGATAATCAGGGGAAGGACTGAAGCAGTTGATCTCACTACCTGTTGTGTTTGGGTTGTTTCACAGCCACGATACGTGTCTGTACATAGTCAGCAGTGTCACTCTTGATCTTAGTCTTTTACGAGTAGGATTGAATTCCTGCTACGAATACCATGAAAATGGTTATACGAGACAACAACTGGAGACAACAAGAAGCGAGGAAGGTTCTTGGTTCCACATTTTTTGGTACGTCTATTTGCGTCCTTGGGTTGAAAAATCACTGAAGTGAAAAACATCCAAAACAATAGTGATTCCTTAATCTGTTTGAATAAAACTGTTTTTATATTTACAAATTTTGCTAAAAGTACTAGAATTATACTTCTATAATGTTGATGTAAAATGTAACTGGCATTTATAAAGAGATAGATACTAATGGACTTTCTTGGATGAAAGACGATGGTGCCTTGTAGCAAGAGATGTGTGAAAACAAATTCATTTGCCCGCAAAAGCCAACACCAGAAAACAATTTACGCCAATGGTAATTAAGCAGTTTAAACAGTTTCTGCCAATGGCAAATAATGAACTTAACTGAGGCCAGGGAGAATGAAAATAAGTGAATACGAGGCAACCAGTCTCATAAGGAACGTTGCTAGTAAAGCCCAAGACTAATATATGGGCAATATAGCCTTACTTCCTAGGGAGTCTAAAAAAAAATCTATAGAAACTTGATTTTCCTAAATTCACGTTTCTGACATGTTGGTGTGATCTACAACAGAGCCGACCAGAAATCTGCTTTTTGCAAGTGTTGCCGAATACACTGAGGGCAAATATCAAGACAATAAATAAACCAGAATGTGAGTTTATGTGCCTTAAACAATAACAGTTGCTATGGCACTGAGTAGATTATCATCAATTCCACTTTTATTAGGCATTTCCGATGAAGAAAATACCACCGCCACCGTGTACCGAAATCCTGCATTGTAAATGTTGTAATTAAAGTGATACAAGCGGATGTGTGACTCCTGATATCTGTACCATATGTCCTATGTTACTCTTACTATAATCTGGTATCCCAAAACTTGCCTCTGGTAGATCTCTCATTTCCCCCAATACAGTTTTACCCCTGTACTTCCCCTCTTCCCACACGCACACACACAGCTAATGGAATCCTTTGAACTCCACTTCAATGATAACCTCCCCTTCCTCATTCCTACACAAAGAAACCCTTTCAGTCCACTCTAGGGGCAACTACCCCCTCTCACACAATTCAGCTTCAAAGACTCTCTAGTGATACATTTTTGTATCTCTACATTTTAGAGTGCTTTGTAATACTCAGAATCCACCTGTGCACCTTACCTGGGTCACACCTAGTGTTTGTCACTGTTCTCATTGACCACTGGTGTACCTATATATTTGATACTGTCTATACGAAGATGAGGGTAACCACCAGTAAAGTGCCTGCGGGTGAGGGTAACCACCAGTAAAGTGCCTGCAGGTGAGGGTAACCACCAGTAAAGTGCCTGCAGGTGAGGGTAACCACCAGTAAAGTGCCTGCAGGTGAGGGTAACCACCATAAAGTCCCGCGGTGGGGTAACCCCCAGTAAAGTCCCGGGGGGGTAACCACCAGAAAATGCCGCGGGTGGGGTAACCCCAGAAAAGGGCCCTGGGGGTGGGGTAAACCAAAAAGGGTCCCTGCAGGGGGGGTAACCACCATAAAGTCCCCGGGCAGGTGGGGTAACCCCAGTAAAGTGCCTAGGTGAGGGTAAACACCTTTAAATTTCCTGCAGGTGGGGGGGAAAAACCACCGTAAAGTGCCTGCGGGTGAGAGTAACCCCCAGTAAAGGGGTGGGGTGGGGTAACCACCGTAAAGTGCCTGCAGGGGGGAAACCCCCTTTAAGTCCCTGCGGTGAGGGTAACCACCATTAAATGCCTGCAGGTGAGGTAACCCCCCGTAAAGTGCCGGGTGGGGGAAACCCACCAGAAAAGGTCCCTGCAGGTGGGGAAAACCCAGAAAGTCCCTTCGGGTGGGGGGTTAACCACCAAAAAGTCCCTGCAGTGAGGGAAAACCACCAGAAAATGCCTGCGGGTGGGGGGAAACCCACCGTAAAGGCCTGGGGTGGGGGTAACCACCAGAAAGTCCCTCGGGTGAGGGGTAACCCCCCAGAAAAGTGCCGGTGGGGGGAAAACCCCAAAAAGTGCCTGCAGGTGGGGGGGAACCCCCGAAAAAGTGCCGCGGTGAGGGAAACCACCAGTAAATGCCTGCGGGTGGGGGTAACCCCCAAAAAGTGCCGCGGTGAGGGTAACACCTTAAAGTGCCGCAGGTGAGGTAACCACCAGAAAGTGCCTGAGGTGAGGGTAACCCCCATAATGCCTCAGGTGAGGGTAACCACCAGTAAAGTGCCTGGGGGGAGGGAAACCCCAGAAAAGTCCCTGAAAGGGGGCAACCACCAGTAAAAGTCCTGCGGTGGGGAACCACCAGTAAAGTGCCTGGGTGAGGGAAACCACAGAAAGTGCCCTGGGGGTGAGGGTAACCAAACATTTAAATTTTGCCTGCGGTGAGGGTAACCACCAGTAAAGTGCTGCGGGGTAACCCCAGTAAAGTGCCTGCGGGTGAGGGTACCCCCATTAAACCCTGCAGGTAAGGAAACCACCAAAAGTGCCTGGGGTGGGGTAACACCGAAAAATGCCGCGGGAAGGGTAACCACATTTAAGGGCCGAGGTGAGGGAAACCCCCATAAAGTGCCTGCATTTGATTTCCCCCGTAAATGCCTGGGGAGGGTAACCACCAGAAAGTGCCGGCGGGTGAGGGTAACCACCATTTTTAAGTCCCTGCAGGTAGGGTCCCCACCATTAAAGTGCCTGCGGTTAAAGGGAAAACCCCCCGTAAAGGCCTGAGGTAGGGTCCCCACCAGAAAAGTCCCGCAGGTGAGGGTAACCCCCAGTAAAGTGCCTGCAGGTGAGGGAAACCACCAGTAAAGTGCCTGCGGGTGGGAAACCCACCATTTTAAATCCCGCAGGTAAAGGGTAACCACCATAAAGGCTGCATAAGGGTAACCACCAGTAAAGTGCCTGCGGTGGGGGAAAACCCCCAGAAAAGGGCCCTGCAGGTGGGGGGAAACCCCAAAAAAGGCCGCAGGTGAGTCCACAGAAAGGCCCTGCGGGTGGGGGGTAACCACCTTTAAAGTGCCTGAAAGGTGAGAGAAACCACCAGTAAATGCCTGCGGGTGAGGGTAACCCATTAAAGTGCCTGGGGGTAGGGTAACCCCCAGTAAAGTGCCTGCAGAAGGGAACCCCAGTAAAGTGCCTGCAGGTGAGGGTAGCCCCCAGTAAAGGGCCCTGGGGTGAGGGTAACCCCAGAAAAGGGGTTCTGCAGTGTTTGCGGGTCACGGTAATTCATCACTTTCGTTACAAACCCGGGTCTTGGGACTAGTTACACTGTGATCCCCAGAGCTTTACACTTATGCCCCATGCGACAAAAATCACTTTCTTGCGCGTGTTTGTTAAAGTATTTCATCCAAAAAAGGGGGTTGCTTGACTGGACTGTAATTTAACCCCAAGTGCACATCAGCTGAAGGGACGTTAGTGGAAATTTTTTTACAGATTTAACACAATTTTTTGTGAGCACTAAATTTCAATTACTACCTTTGCCCAATCCCGGCCAAGTGATTTTGTTTAAAAAAAAGGAGACGGGTTTTCTAATTTATAGCAATATACAAGTACTTTTTTTAATCAGTGAATTGTTCAATATTCTAATGTTTTATTACATTTTATCTGGTCCTGTCCTCCGCATTCAAGTTATTTTTTCCAAATTCGAGTTATGAAAGTTTTAACCCTGACTCACGAAATCGAAGACGCGATTTCAAAAAAACCATATAGGGGGGGGTTAGAACCCGCGATCAGAGAATCTTAAAACTCCATGAGTTTTCGCGTCTGTTTGTTTCAAGACTCTTGATCGCGGGGGTTTAACCCCGCCCTTGGGGATGGTTTGTTAAACATTTTGTTAAAAAAATTTTTAGCTAGGGGGTTTGTATGCTGAAATTATTTTTCATTTAAAGGCTCAGTAGAAATTCGAGGCGTAAGCGAAAAACGGTTGAATTTCAATAATGGGAAAATTTCAACATAGTCTCCCGAAGTTGCGATTTTTGTTATAAATTTTAAGGAGAGGCCCAAGACGTGTCAATCCACTAATAAAATATTAATGGCTGTGGATTTTCCACATGGAAAATACTGTCTCAGTAATGTCACTTACACGCCAGCATCACGAGAAGTCACTCCTTCCAAGAAACTTTAGTGTTAAGTCAACTTAACCCTCAGAAATAAAAAGTATCAATGCAGAGTGTGCCATTCCCTCAGATAGTTTGACTTATTAATTTCGGAACTGTCTGTCTACTGCTGCTGCCATATGGCATTAGGCTTATATCCCTGTTTTGAGTGGGAGAGTTGAGAGGAAAAGCATCGACGATAGACGTATAATCTTGTTTGTATCAGTGAAGAATTGCTCTCAAATGTTCTCACGTCTCGCAGCCTCACACAAATCTCTCTCTCTCACCTGAGACAATCTTAGAACTATTCGGTGCGTCTCCTGACGTTTGTGAATTATTATAACCATAACAAAGCGCTAAACCTGTAAAGGTAAGACATTGATCATGCTTGATCAGACATCAGAGAGGGTGAAGAGTGGTAGAGCTAGGATGGGTGGTGACGAGTTTAAAAGGAAGAATAATCAAAGTTTGTGCAACAAAGCTGTTGCTTACAGTAAATCAAAGTGTGTCAAAGGTGGGGCCGTCAGCAAGGAAGAAAGATAATGTAAGAGTGTTAGAGCAGTGACGACGTCGGAGATCAATTCTGCGTGCTCGCTAGTAAGTACGACAGTAACAGAATATGGCAGACTGTTATTGGAACTTGACAGTTCTCACAGAGTGGCACTGGACGCCTCTCTATGAAATACCCATGAGTGAGACACGTATGTCCGATGTGAAGACAGGAAAGCGTAGTCTCCCAGCTACAACATCGATGATAAGAAGACCAGGATCCTAAACAATTCATGATAGAATGTAATTTGTTATGAATCATGTCAGACCAACGTCGTTGCCAACAAATGCTAGAGATTACAGGAAAATAGTCTAAGAATGGAATACCTCTGTATGAAAGTGGTAGGTCTTGTTCCACCGACCGTGCAGCAGAGTCCGCCTCCTCGTTGCCCTGAACATCAGCATGACCAGGGATACAGCAGAAAACGATTTCTTTGTTTATACTAGAAATGTGGCATAACCAAAGTTGTACACGAAAAACTAGGAGATGAGGTGAATTTTTTTTATAGCTTGCAAAGCACTAAAATAGTCTGAGATTACCACAAACGTTGAAGTAGGCCTGGACACAATACATATAATCGCTATGAGAATCGCAATCAGTGAAGCTGTGAAAATGCTAGCCGAGTCTAATAAATGGCCTCGTACAACATTGTCCGGAAACACTGATGCAAACCCGACACTGTCAGAGGATTTAGAACCATCAGCATGAACTGCAACATCATGAGAATAAGACCTGAAGTGGTTAAGAAAAAGGGAGCGAGAATTATCATAAAAAGAAGTTCTAAACCTACAAGGGTCATACAGTGCACTGGGGCAGGGAATAGTGCAGAATCATAAAGTAACAAGAGTGGAGTGGATAGCAGAGGGAGACTTTGAAAATGCTGTGAGGAGTGCAAGAGGAAGGATCATCATAATCTGAGTCAATGGTGGGTCCGTCAGAAAGGAGGGAAGATAAAGTGCATTAGGGCAGTGATTATGACGGAGGTAAATTCTGCATGCTAGTTGAGAGATTGGACAGTCCAACAGAATATGGTGAACCGAAACTGGAACCCGACAAGTCTCCCATAGTTTGACAGGGTGCCCGTTAGAAACATTAGCGTGTACGATAGGATGACGGGAGAGTATAGTCTCCCAACCTCGGCATCGGTAACAAGATGGCCGGAAACCTAAACTTGGTTTGAAGGAGGACTGGAAAATGATCGCTGCCATGCAAATCTGGGAGTACAGACCAGGTAAAGTCTAGTGCAGTTGATGAAGTGCAAACAGAGATCGATGTAAGAGATAGAGACCCCAGAGGAAATGGTGAGCATTAAAATCGCCTAATAACAGAAGTGATAGCGGTAATGAAGAAACTAGAAATGCAACATCACGGCTAGAAAATGCCCAAGAAGGAGAGAGATACAAACAACAGTAGAGCTGCGAGCTGCAATGTAATGCAAAGAAGTATGAACAAAGATCTGATGGTATGGTATACCAGTGTTTACAAGAAGTGAACTTTCATTAAAGGTTCCATCTGGAAAAGGATCTGATGAATATAATAAAACATAGCCTGAGACAGGATGGATAACAGCGGAACGTAGTTTGGGCACTTGTAAACAAACACAAACAGGGGAAAACTGGGAGAGCAACACCTGAAGCTCACCCTGAGACCTTGGATATCCCACTGTAGATAAACCATGATTTGAGGAGAGAAGGATACAGGAAATATGAAGCAATAGGTATGTATGGACTAGAAAGGTTAGTAAAGTCCACAGGT